CCAACGGTGACATCACCCTACCAACCCCTAGACTGATCATAGGTACAGCACCCTACCAACCCCTAGACTGGTCATAGGTACAGCACCCTACCAACCCCTAGACTGATCATAGGTACAGCACTCTAACCCACTGAGCCCCCTATCAATACAAGGCAGTGTTTTAGCACATTATTGGACTTAGCTATTTAGCTAAATACACCACGTCCTGCATGAGCTGCTTATAAAAGTCTGTTAAATGTAGGTGCCAAATCAGTCTGAAGAGAACTCAATAATCTAAATTTAAATATTATATTTTAGTTTGCAAGGCAGCCATTTTAAAACTGAAATTTGATCATAAATGGCAGTATAAGATTACATAGCATAAAATAATCCAGGTTAGTATTCTTTAGTAAGTGGCAATTAACAAATATAGCAACAATTGACAATATCACAAAATTGCTGTGTATCGGTAAAAGCAAAAACCTCACATCGCCTTTGCAGGAGGAGTGAAGAATATCTAATAGGTTTTCCATTAAATAAGGCCATATACCAAGTGGTAGGCTGCTGCTAGCAATTTTCTCCTGAAAATATGTCACATTCAATCATTCCTGTTACACTTTCAAGGTAAAATGTTCAAAACAAAACCTTCTTTTATTCCTGGGAAATAGTAGCTATATAAAATACTGCATGTATGTAATACTGTATTTTTTTCTTTTGACTCTGGCCCCTTACTGTCATCATACCAGTTTCAATTTTGAATTCCTCTGAAATTTACTTGAACAGCGAATGAGATGGTCTCAGACCGGTGGATTAGGTGACAATTAAGTGGCATTCATGTTCTGTACTGTATAAGATCTGCCAGCAGTGTCCTACATTGGTTTGATACATGAATTCAACAGAACAGAATGGACAGAATGAATTCAACAAACTCACGTGAACAATATAAAACATGAAGGTCAACAATAAATAACTAGGGATGTCCTTGCCCTTGACAGTGTGTCAGCTCTGTAACGTGGAATAAAAACAGAAGTGCAGAAGGTTGTTCAAACCCAACAGTCCATCCATCATGTTGCCACCAAAAACAGAGAACCATGTGGGAGTTTGAACTGGGGGCAGAACTGTTTTGGAACTGCAACCTTTAGAGATATTAAAAATAATGAGAGCACATTATATGCCGGTGCACATTGTATGACATGACAGGCATTTTGCCTTCAAAAGTCTGGGTTACACTGTGCACAGCGCAGAACACAGTGATTTCTGTCTGCACCACGCAAAGTTGGCATGTGTTTGTTAGTAACTGTGAGCATCTAACTCCTCCTGTGTCATGGAAACCTGTGCAGTGCACAGGCTCATCGTCTGTGTAAGCTGCATTATTATAAATAACAAATAAGTAAATAATAAGTAGTCCTATCAAAACAAATACTATTAAACATATTTAAAGAAATCTTTTTTTTTTAAGTGAAAAGCGAATTAAAATGAAATTAGATGTTCAAAGTTCATGCATAATGCTGCTGCAGATAGTTTTAAAACATGTTATCATATCTGATGAAGTTTGTTTCTTTCGAAGCAGTCAGTGCTGGAGACGCCGACGCCTCAGTCATCTGCCGTACCTGGATTATGATCCCGTTTGCTTTATACTCAGCTTGGAGGCACCGAGAAAATCTCTGAACAAACACCTGGGTGAAAAGGATAGTTAGTGAGGTTAATCAACATTTGAAAATATTATCTTGTTAGAAAAATAACTAACATGCGCATACATACACACATACAAACATGCATCCATATTGGTGTGGTGGGCAGATAATCCATGTCAGGGAGGACACTTTGAGCTACTTCAGGTTTTACAAACTACTTTAATACTGAAAGGCTCCTCTGCTTGGCTAAATAGTTCAGTTCTTCCTGTGCTTTGACTGGTTTGTTTCCTTGACTCATCTCGCTGTTTCACATTAGCATTAGTGAGACCTGCATGATTATAGGAGACTGACCAATCAGCATGCAGCAAGAACTAAGTGCTAAAGTGAAATCCAGGTCTTTTTAATTAAAATGGTAGTTTACAAATCCTGTCCTGGCTCAGTGTCCTTTCTGACATGGATTGCCTGGTCACCTTATATGGAAAGAGAGCTGCATAAATGATCTTTTGGAGCTTAATTTTGAACAGTCAACAGGACGGATGCATGGTGTTCGTTCTGTGCTGTGATACCAGCCTTGGAAGCTGTGTATAGGGAGTACATGGGCCAGGGAGAACAAGCCACGCCCGATGACACATTCAGGATCAGCCCCTTCTTCCTGTCAAAAAACAATGGAGAAAAACAGACCTTTTAAAGGCGTAAAGCAGTAATGTTATGGGTCTGCTATGAGTGAAATGATCTATTATGCAATGGGATGCTGTAATGATAATGAATAGCTATGAGTGTCCATCATCATTTTCATATAGCTTGATTGTGAGATGGTGGGCTGCACTGTAGCTCTGTACCTCCTGGGTTTGAATCCCTCCACTGCATATGTGTTTCTGTGTGCAGTGGGGGCTCTAACACATGTTGTGAGGGTTTCCTTCCAGAGTCCAAAAACATGCAGCTTCAGGCTGATTACAATCTCCTTAATGCCTGTTTGTTTGTGTCTCCTATGATGAACTGGCATTCCAGCCATGATGTCACCTGTCCTGTGCCTCTTGGAATAGTCCCCAGACTCAGTGTAATGGTAAGTGGATTGCATTTATATAGCGCATTTTCTGCTCCTTCAAGCACTAAAAGCACTTCACAATTTCTGCCTCACATTCACACACCAATGGCAGAGGCTGCCATAGAGGGCACCAACCTGCTCACCAGGAGCAATTTGGGGTTCAATGTCTTGCTCAAGGACACTTCAGTGAGGTCAGGAGAAACCAGGGCTCAAACCTGCAAACCTCCGGTTGCCAAACGGTAGTGCTCCCTCCTGTGCCACCATAGCCCATTGTAACCCTGTGCTGTATACATGGCTGGATGATAAGTGGTAGAAATGATAGAGCATTACCTTTTCACCATAGCAGGTAAGATTATCCTGCACATCTGTGAAGAGCAATGAAATTGAAACTGAGCGTCAGGTTACCTTGAGATCCCAGTTACTTTTGGAGGCAAAGATTTAAAGATTCATTTCATTTGTTAAAGAGCTGATAATGTAGACTCATGACTGTGGCAGGATGGCGACAAGGTGTTTAGTTCCAGCTACATACATGCACAACCTGAGCACTTTGGCAAGCCAATCAACCGTGATCCTGTGATGTTCTTCCAGCAGCTGGTGCCTCATTAATGTGTGGAAATGTGAGTAAGTTTTAGTGCATGAATATAACCCAGTGTTTTGGCAGCATTTCTAACTGCGTTGTTGCCTTATACTATATGCTTCCAGAGACAGGCTCAGAAAAGCCTGTTAATAAAAAGGAATGGAAGAGTGGGATAATATATGTGCATGTGTGTCTGTTACATTATGTTCTAGATATGTTTGCCAAATGATGGTAAAACAAAACACCAGTAGTATGGTTATAAAACACACGTTCGACATATTTGAGAAAAATACAGCATTCCTGATATAATACACTGCAAGAAATGGACTAGCTAAGTGTTTTATAAAATCTGGATTTTCATTTCATTTACATATTTAACAGATGCTTTCATCTGAAGCAACGTACCACTGAGCAAACAGGGTCAGCCAGTTCCTGGAGCATTTAGGGTTAAGGGCCTTGCTCAAGGGCCCGACAGTGACATCCCTCTGCCAACATCGAGATCTGAACCAACGACCTTCCGATCACGAGTCCTAATACACTGAGCCACACACCTTGTTTCCAGATTGTCTCGAGAAGTTTGGCAACTAGATGTAGCTTTTCATGCCAGTCAGAAATGTGTGTGGATGCTTTGTTATAAAGGGACATCAAGAAGGATCACAAATGACTTTTTTCCCCCTTCTACCTTAGAGGTCTTTTTTCTAACAAGTCTGGCGTAGGATATATGAAAACATTCTCATGCTTGATAGTATTTTTATATGCTGGTTTTTATGGAAAAACCCAGAGAGTGGATGACTAAGGCAGACCTGAGGCAGATGACATAAGTGTGCAAATGAAGGAGAAGTTCTGTGCCGCATGAGATAACATGCTGCTCATACTAGACTTCTTTAGGCTACAGGTTCTCAATACCTAAAGTAGTCCCAGGGGCTGCAGGATTAATACATTACCAGCAACCATAGCGATAAAATTTAAATCTAAAAATGATATAAAGCAGTGAACAGTTGGCTTGCAGCCCTGCATCATTCACAAGATGGATGTCCTTCGTCTTGCCCAATCACCCCCCACCCTCTATATCTCTACACCATACACTTGCTCCCTCTCCTTGGGTCTGTCTCTTCATAAAAATCCCTTATTCAATCTATATTCCACTATCTCATAACCATATGCCTTTTAATGCCTGCCTGTTAATTTGTTCAGTAATTATCTTAACAAGTCTAATTTTTGTAAATCCTAGCCATTCTGTTAATAATCCATAGGTGGTTATATGCTCTTTACCTTTTGGTGCATAACAGTAAGTTAATCTAACTATTAATTATCAGCCGTAGATAATGAATAATTATATAAACTCACTGGAAGTGCAAATGATAATTTTGCTTAAATGGAGTCATTAAGTCACCCAGTGGAGCATGATGTGCTTTTTTCAAAGGACTGCAGAAATTCTACAAAGCTTCTGATAATGTTTAATAGCTGACTGGAGGGGCAGGATGGACAACCAATGACCAGTAGGACAGTCAAAAGGGAGCTTTCCTCTAAAAGCAATTCAAGATACACCACTTTCCTTCAGTACAACACCTACTATATTTTAGGATCATAACCACAGATGGCTTTTTTACACGGTTCAGTCATAAACACAGTCCATTCGTCATGGTCGTATATAAGTACTCACCTTCATTAATGCCTTCACATTACAGTTGATCAGATCTGGAATTTTCTGGAACCATAACATTTTATTGTCAAATTAACATTTTTCCCTGATCACGCACACACACACACACACACACACGTGCATGTCGGGTAAACATATCTTTATGGGGACCACTCATTCATTTCTATAGGTAAAATGCCAACGCTAACTATGACATCCTTAACCCCTACCCAACCCTAACCATCACCATAAGTAACCAAGCAAAATACAAGAGTTTTTGCATTTTTAGTTTTTTCATTGCAGTCACAGAGTTTTATTAAATGGGGTTTTCCATTTAAAAAAGGGAAAAAGGGGAAAAAATGGGTATTGATCACATTGTGGGGACATTGTGTCCCCATAAGGTAAGGTATACCTGCTCGCACACGCACACACACAGACACACACACACACACACACGCACACACACACACACACACACAGGTTTGTAATTATTTCTTTGTAGGCACTCTCCATTCTTTTCTCTGGGTAAAACTCTAATCACAAAATGAGGACCTTAACCCCTACCCAGCCCTAACCTTAACCATAAGTAGCCAAACTAAATACAAGACTTTTGCCGTTTTTACTTTTTTTCATTGCATTCACAGATCTTTGTGGGAACCTGAAAATGATCTCCACAATGTAATATAAACCTAATCCACACACATAGACACACAGACCTGTACTCATATCTTTGTGGGGACTCTCCATTCATTTTTATGGGCAAAACCGTAATCCATACTTTGACAACCTTAACCCCTACCTAGCCCTACCCTTAACCAAATGTAGCCAAAAAAAAAATACAAGACTTTTTAAATTACATTCACAGATTTTTACTCTTAGTTTTATATTTATATAGGTTTATAGGTTTATATTGCAGGGACCTAAAAAATGTCCCCACAAGCTAAAGAGTACTCACCTGATCCAGGTGCTCGATGTCCAGGAACCGACGAGGCTGTCTGCACAACAGCATCCCCACATTGTTCACTGCAGATGCATGACATTCAGGTATGAGCTTGTTCCTCAGGGGGGGTGTTTCAGTGTGTGAAAATGTATCCAGTACTAACATACCTAACACACCAACCTCTAAACCTCTCAGATTCTCCTCTATATGTTCATATATGTCATCTTTGGTAAAGTCGGCTGTAATCACTTTCACTTGTTTCCCAGTTCTTGCTCCTATGAAGAAAACAGTAAAGCTTACGTCACATATAACAGTGAGAGCACAGCTGTCTGATACAGCTAATACTGCATGCCCATGGTACCTATTTCCCTTGCAGCTTTCTCAAGCTTCCTCTGAGTTCGGCTTATGATGACCAAATTCATCCCATGCTTTGCAAGCTGTAGCGGACAGACAAAGAACAGAAATCAAGAGGGATCAGTTGTTTTTGCACGATACCAAACATGACCGGTGGTAACAAGGCCCAAAAGTGCTCCACTCCTGTGATTTATTCTTTCTGTGGGCTCCTCAGGAGATGTGCTTCCTGGGAACAGCCAGGAAAGAGGGCTTCTCTTTGTGCTGTGGCTCTCAACCAGAGTTTGCATTCACATTGCATTCACAGTTTGCTTCTGCCCATTACTGGGCGAGCTCATTAATTCTTTCACCATACGCTCTTTGTTAATGCCCCCTGACCCCAAGTGTGAGCACAGCAATGCGGGGGGGTGGGGTGACCCAGTGCAGGAGTTCAGGCTTTCAAATCACAACAAAATGACACAACTTGGAAAATCAGCCCTTGCTTTTTTTATTTTAAAATTTCCCACGACTTAGAACATAATAAAGTTTGTAAAAACATATGTGCAAATACACTGATATTTACTGCAATAGATTCCCACACTCAATAAGCTTAAAATATCACACACATCTATATATATAACATGTGAATATGGCACGATTTCAGAGTCTGCAACTTTCCCAGGATTTTCACCGTATCTACAGTTAAAGAATGTTGGGTGCCACTTTACAATAAGGCTACCCATATAAAGGGTCTATGAATGGTTTATAATCTGGTCATTAATTCGTTTGTAACACAAATTATTAATAGATAGATGGTTTATTAATTAAACAAGTTATAACACTGTTTTCTTTTTATTGATGAGTCACTACCACAAGTGGCAGAAGGGATCCTTATAGTAGAGTGGTACTGAACGTTGTAATAAACAGAACACATAATGTGTTAAGGAGCATAACAGCAGCATTCACAATGGCAGTTCTGGAAACAAAAGTTGGGCCTCCCATTACCATTTAGGTGCACCACTATGTGCCCAACGAGCAGCTGCCCCATAGAGATGACCTATACTGCTGCAGGCTGAAAGTCAGATGTTCCATCGAGACGGACCTTACCTCCAACGCATATGCTTTCCCAATCCCGTCTGATGCCCCAGTGATTACTGTAACCCAAGAGAAACAGCAAAGGCGGGCTCAGTTCTGATCCTTTATGCAAAAATGCAGTGATTGGTGATCACTTGGGAGAAACAACAGATTTATACAAAAGAACTTCATCTCATATACAGCCAATACACATGAAAATGGAAAGGCAGGATTCTCTGCGCATTGTTGCACACGACTTACATACAGTATACCTAGACTGAAATAGAATGATATGTAGTATTGATCAATGAGGTCTTATTTATGTGCATGTGCCCTGTGGTCATTTCGAACTGGGGTGGTACTATGAGGCAGCTCCTACACAAGAGCTCTAAGGCATTCGCGGAACCTGCGTATGAAGTGTGGAAGGTTTTTTCCACCGGGCAATCAGACTGAGGTCCTTTGTTTGTCTGGCCTCTGCCAAGCTATCACTTCAGTGATGAGATGTGATGTTCCTGCACACACTGTCTGTGCCATGCTTCTGATAAAGAAATGACAAGGACAGCGACAAAGTAAACAGGCTGTGGCACAGCGCCCATCTCCAGGATCAATCCCACCTCCCTTGCTGGTTCATTCACCGGCCAGGCCTGGAACTCTCAGTCTGTTCCTGGGGCAACGGACGTTTTATCTGCACTATTTGAATTGCAGTTACACTGATCTGGTGCCACTTGGGTGGCCAATAAGTCCAAACTTGTAAACATTTCATGTAGGTACATATTGCACAGGTAATAATGCTGGCACCCTACATTAGTTCACCTTACCTTACTTTAACTTAGCAGCACAGTAATAACCTGTATACCCATTACTTCTGATTTTAATTTCAGTTTGCTAATCAATGCAGTGTTTCATGTATCAGGTGTGGAACCGTGTGTGTAAACACATACATTGTTCATGAGCAGTTACGGATGAAGGATGCATTGACTGAGAGCTACATTGAAACATCGAGTCAGAACCAAGCATTGCAACAACTGTAGTGCTGATTCCAATCCATCTGCTAAACGAATGTATTATATTCATATTCAAGCTTGGATGCTTTCAACAATGAAAAGACTGATCTCCCCAAGTAAACCATGGACCTTGATGTTTGTGTGTCTTGAAAGGAAGTTGATGTGGTTAAAAAAACCCTGCATTTTACACAGCAGCCTTTATGTGGGTATTTCTTGAATTAGCATTAGTCTGGTTTCCGCCCATCCTGTGAACTCTAGTTTGAGTCCAAGCAGTGAAGACTAATCTTTTTCCAGAAGTGCCTGGAAAATTACACGTGCCATATTGTAATATAAAAAGCAAACTCCTTGCCTAATATTTGCTCACACATCTTTAATTTGGAATCAGTGATTGTACCTACATCTGGTTTTACCTTTTTTAACCATGTTAAGCTGATGATATAACATTCAGATCATATAATTGAACACTTTTCCATAAAAATTAGGCATGGCAAAGGCTTATGTCCTTCTGTGACCTGTAATGTTCTGTTCAATTTGCACCTTTCATATTAAATTACTTTTCTTCATCAACATTTTTAGATGTGAGTGATACTGTACTAAAGCTTTGGCTGCTCATACATTTTTAGTACTATGGTAAGTTACATGAACTGTGTGTTTCTGGTTTTCCGCATTAGTTTTGATGATATCAAAGCATATTTGTTAGATCCTTCATTTTCACACGGCTCATGTCTGGTTTTCTTACCAAACAAAATAAAAATCTCAGAATTTGGCTTCAGTGTGTTCTTGACATGCCCGCAGTCCAAATAGCATTTTTTTACAGTCTACTAAAATTTTAGTATAAGAAAAATATTGCCCCTTTAACACAAGGTTAACATCTGTTTCTATGAGTAGAAAATGTCATGTTTTTTCCCCCAGAATAACACTGTAAGATTTGTTCCTGTCGAGAAGGTGTACATAGTCAGTTGACATGGGGATGAATGGTAGAAGGGATTTCATTTATGGATGAGAGTGGAGATGGCCTTAATGAGGATAGAGGGGAGTGTTTATTCAGTGCTTATCCAGTGCAGGGTAGCGGTAAACCTGGACGCTATCCCAGGAAGGAAGGTATGAGATGGGGATCAACCTGCACTGGAAGCCACAAGACATGCCTTTTGGATATTACTTTTTTAATTATAAAATACAGAAGAGTTATTTTATATTTTTAAATAACTGACAGTGAACTGTTTTACTGCATGATGTTTATATACACAATTATTAGTATTTAGTTGCTGTTACATGCTACATAATTGACTGACCATACAGAAATGAGCAAAGCAAAGCTAAATAAGATTTAAAATATTAAAATTACTATAAATTGGCCATAGTGCATCACTGTGCATGTGAGTGTGAGTGTGTGTATGAGCTGGCGTCTCACCCAGGGTGCACCCCAGCGTAGCACCCGGTACCGACTGGGATAAGCTCATGAAGACTGATGGATGGACATTAAAATTAAATGAGGATACTGTTTTTCAAATGGTTAAATGCAAATGGTACAAAGTAAGAATCTGCCTATAGATGCTAGTATAGAGTTGTGCTGAAGACCAATCACAGCAAATAAAGGCAGTCTTTCTTTCACGAGGGGGAGTTCACCATTCTACAGCCTCAATCAAGAGAACAGACCGAAATTACTTAGATTAGCTACAATGATGCCATCTGGTATTTGCATAATTACAAACAGTTTGCCAGTATTGAACATGGGGCAAGACTGAAATTTGAATGGATATGCCCCACTTTATGGGACAATGCAGTTATAGGCAGAAATATCTAGATAATACAGCAATGGAGTCAATATAAAGCCATAGCTGTTGTTTCGACACCTGGCTATTTCCTCAAAAAAGCTGGAACAGTTATTTATTCAGCTCAGTCATATGTTACCATTTGTCTGAACTCCTCACCTTAAATCAAAGTGGATAAAGTAATTTGGCTCTTCTGACAGTGAACTGTACTGATCTGTGCTTGTTCTGTATTTAAATCGCACTTGTGAGTAGGTGTATTATTCAATAAAATCCTTGATTGGCTTTTGCTCAACCCTACAGCCAATAGACAGATAAGACATTACAGCAGCTATAAACACAGACAAACATGTGGAATAAACAGAAGAGGGAGGAGAAGGTGAAGATACTCTACGGCTGCGTGCTCTCTATCCCTCTCTCACAGGAAGTCAAGGTGAGTAGCTGATGTGTTCATTAGCATGGTGTAGTCCCAGCAAAAGCCGTAGCTTCTGTTTTCCTGCACAGCTACTAGGAGCAACTTCAGCAATGAGCTTTAACGGTCAGAGAGGAGAGTAATACTGTGATTTCAAGCCATGAAAGCAGGACATGCTTTTTCATCATTCAGGACAAAACATCCTGCTTCTTGCAGTCTATTTCGCATCAAGATCTGGCACGATAAAAACCTTCAAGGTTTAAATATAACATGGGCCTCCACTCTCTAATAATTTTCCTCAATAACCATCCACACCACAGACACACACACACACACCCCCAATTTTGTCCATTGTTCATTTCTGTGGCTCAGCAGGTTAGGACTTTTGATTAGAAGGTCACCGGAACAATTCCCTGGCCGGCGGAGTGATTTCACCATTGGGGCCTTGAGCAAAACTGATTTGTGGGCCAAATAAATAAAATGTACGTGTCCAAAAACATCCATGACGAGAAGGTCACTGGATGGGTGTCCAATAACTGAGAAGAAGGGTATCTGACAACAATAACAAAACATATCACATTTCATATATGTAAAGTGCAGCTTAAAACTGTACATCTAAAGAATAAAAAAAATATGTGCAACCTTTTCCTTTTTGTCCAGGCAAATAGACAGACACAGACCTCTGCTCTCTCAAGCAGTAAAAGCTGGCTAAACACACAAATTTGGTTCTACCTAATGAGAAACATTCGTACGCAGGCGGCCATGCAGTAAACACATTGTGCCATATTGCGTGCAGAATATATGCAGAATACACATGACTTAGTTATGTGCAGCTATTCATTTAGCAGGTTTAGTGTTTCAGGTTTGTGATCATCGGAAAAGAGAGCACAGCACCAAACAGATCATGCAGCAGAGCATGCAGATGTTCAGATCGTTAATTATGTACCTCTTTGGACTCCAGTATCCATAATCTTTGGGTACTTTGGATTTTTACTGATCAGTAAATAATAATAGGTTACAAGATATACTACTTTACTGACGTAAGGGTAATATGAAGTATAGAATTCTTGGGTTCGCCCAAGTTTGCCCTTGAAAAATTAACTATTTTGATAGAGATGGACAGTCTGTGGGGATATTGCAGTCAGATGTGAATGCTTGGCAGGATGTTTGTAATTATTATCAGCAGATTATCACATCCTGTGCAGACCTTAGTTCACTATTGACTTGCCACCAGTGTGATCATTCCTCACGACCACACCCATCTCTGGATGAGTTCAGTGGAAAATCACCTGCACCTGCTCTGACTGCATGAATGCTCCTGGTTAATGTCTCGTCCTTCAGTCTTGAAGTCTCATTTGACCTACTCAGTCCTAGTGTTCTATTCTGTTGGTTTGACTTTCTGATTCCGTCTCATTTCTTGGTTCTCTGGTTTGGTTCTTTGATTTTGATGTGTTACTTCGTTCCTGGTTTTGACTGAGTCCTCCTTAGCGGCCCCAACTGCATGGTTCAGAGTCAATGACCCAAGTCCTATCACCCCTTAGAGACTGGAGGCATGCCAGGTGGTGAGGAAAGCTCAGACAGGCAGAGTACCTGGCGACATCAGTCGGTGCAGTTTGGGAACTGGCATTTGACCTGAGTAAATAAAGTTCGATTTTCCTGCCCCGTTTTCATGACACAGATGGTGGTGTTGCTGATGAATGAATTCCCATTTTCAAGACACGGGTCCCAAAGATGCTAAACCAGATTGAGATCTGGGGAATTTGTCATTTGTAGGTCAAGTCAATACCTTGAACTCTGTTTAATGTTCCTTAAACCATTCCTGAACAATTTTTGCAGTGTGGCAAAGTGCATCATCCTTCTGAAAGAGGCCACTGCCATTGGAGAACTCCAGTGCCATAAAGGGCTGTATTTTGTCTGCAGCAATATGTAGGTGCGTGTCAAAGTACCATCCACATGAATGCCAGGACCCAAGGTTTCCCAGCAGAACATCGCCCACAGCATCACACTGCCTTCTTCTCATGGTGCATCCGGGCACCACCTCTTCCCCGGTAAATGACGCCCACGCACCCAGCCGTCCACATGATGTAACAGGAAACATGATTCATCAGACCAGACCACCTTCTTCCATTGCTCCATGGTCCAGTTCTGATGGTCCCTTGCCCACCGTAAGTGCTTTCAGCAGCAGACAGGGGTCAGCATGGGCACTCTGACCGGTGTGCAGCTACACAGCCCCATACACAGCAGGCTGCAATGCACGGTGTTCTGACACCTTTCTATCATAGCCAGTATTAACTATTTCAGAAATTTATGCTACAGTACCTGTCCTGTGGGATCGAACCAGATGGGCTAGCCTTCGCTCCCCATGCGCATCAATGATCACTGGGCATCCATGGACCCTTTGCCAGTTCACTGGCTGGCCTTCCTTGGACCACTTCCAGTAGGTACTGACCACTGCATACTGGGAATACCCCACAAGCACTGCCATTTAGGAGATTCTCTGACCTAGTCGTCTTTCACAATTTGACCCTTGTCAGAGTCACTCAGATCCTTTTGCTTGCCCATTTTTCCTGCTTCTAACAATCAATTCAGGAACTGATTGGTCACTTGCCTAATATGTAATGGGACCCATGATAAGTGCCATTGTAATGATATAATCAATGGTATTTACTTCACCTGTCAGTAATTTTAATGTTATGGCTGATCGGTGTAAATATCTCTAAAACTGGAATATTATTATTACAGCTTTGTGTTAAAATGGAAATATGTATGATAATATGCCGATACTAGGCAATAAACACCCAGGTAGACCGGCAGTTGCGTGGAAAAGTGCTCCACAGCTTCTGCACCTTCAGACCTCCATATGAGGATAGGGTGACCAGGGATGTACATGTCTTCAGAAGCCCCAAGGTCCCTGTGAGCTTGGACTCCAGGATGGTATAAAATGTTTCTGTTTGGAGTTGTGTCTATTCGGAGCTGTGATACATGAAGCTCTCCGTGCAGGCGCCAAGGAATCACATGACTGTCGGTGTCACAAGGCTAATGTGGTAGTTTTCAGAAACTTGATTATACCCATCAATGTAAACAAATGTGTACAAAAATACATGAGAGCTGTGTTTCACATAGATGCCCAAAGAGAACAAAAACATACTGACTAACTTTCTAAGGTCCATGAAGAGCTTGTCTTGATATTTTTGATCGTGTTCTGCACACAGTCAAGTCCTGTGATTTTCATTTAAGCTGCACCCAGGATTAAGATTTCACTATTGTGTTTTATGCCATGATTGCATGAATTCGTTCATGACTGCATGTTATGCATTCTACAGACACAATGCAGAGAGCTCCACAGTGGTTGTGGGGTTCATTCATCTGCATTCACTTAGTAGACATTTTTGTCCTAAGTAACATACAAATGAGGCAGGTACATTCCATCAAAGGATGTATGCAAGATCACCAGAAAACTATTCACATGCAGAGCCGAGGGCAGGAATCGAACCCACAACCCTGAAAGATTGAGTACTACCCACCAAGCCATCACATTTTCAGATAACAATATGTATTCAAGGCCATACTGAAGCAGAGTATAGCACTTGGCTCTACTGATAAGATGTAATGCATATGACAGGGAAATAAAATAACCTCAAATTTAATCATTCATAAAGGAACACCTGATTTTATGACTCAGAACCTCTCCTTTTTCTATCTCTGCCACCACGATCTTCAGATGACTCACCTGCCCACTGGCCCATGGAGCTGAAGAAGGACTTTGGCAGTGGGTACCAGGTCTTTGGGAAAACCATCTTCACCAGGCGAAGCAGCTTAAACCCATAAAACAGGACGACAGACACCCCAACAGAGACAAACAGCAGCTCAACAAATTCCATGGTAACCCACTTGTGACGCTCTCAGGCTGCAGCTTGGAACAAGCACAGACTCCCAGGGCGAAGGAGAAGCAGCTACTAGTCCAATTACGCCCGGCTAGCACCTCCCCATAAAAATAAATAAATAAATGGATGAATAAATATTTAAAAAAACAAACAAAAAACAAAATATATGCCGTATCTTTAAAGTTTAAACCGTACATTTATATTACTTAATACAGTTTCACTTAATACATAATATAATAACAAGCAAAATAAAATATATATCTCTATTCTTATTTCTTTTAATTACCACGCTTCCGCTGAAAGAGGGAAATGCGCGATATACATCTACGCTTAAACGCCAATATCCATAATTCGCGGTTACTGTTCAAACCGTTACGAACTCCTATGTGCACATATAAAGTTAACGACGACCAAAAGCATAGGTTTCATCTTAACATTATAGGGGGGCAGGTATGTTTGGGGTGAGAGGGTGCTGCGTTATGACCCGCACCTACACGCATTGTCGGCTTTCGTAGAAAAAAAAAAGTCTTTATTCACGAGTAGAAACTTTTACAATGGCAATTGCTGAGAAAACTATGCATGTTTCATTTGCTTCGTATAATATCTATAAATATGCTGTTTAAAATTATATATAACCAACTTGCGTATTACTAATAAGAATGACAAGATATGCTTATCTTTGTAAGGTAAACAATATGCTCATAAATTAATATGATATAATCCAATAGTTTATGGATTTCTACATAGATATCCTAGTCTTTACTTTTTATCTGCACTGGTAAGTTTTACAGCAAATTTCACAATTCCTTACTCTATCTGAGACCACATACAGTTATTCTTTTGTCATTAAATGGCAGTAACTCGAGCTTTCGTAAGAACCCGCACCGCCTTAATCTGCCCGCAGCTACTGTAAATTTACACTCCGCCTAAGTGTCCGCCAGCCTGAACGGGAATTTAGGATAAACCATTTTAGGCGAGGGTAGGGGTACGTGCTTGGGATGAAAACTGTCAGTACAAACTTTAAATTATCTTATGAGATTCATTACTCTTATCTGTGTTTTTTGTATACGAAGTTTTATATTTATATTATATTGCATTATTTTGTAATGCTGGTGAAGAAGCCTCGGCACAGGTGTGTTTAATAAGCAGCTTCTTATTAATAATAATATTTTATATCCCTTCTTATAAGTCCCTTCTTATTTCAGCTATGAGAATTGAGCTGGAATGATTTTACACAAAATAGTTACTGAAAGACCATTAAGGAGATTAAGGGGGGACATTATCCAGGTATATAAGATTCTAAGGCCCCGTTTACACTGCAGGTCTTGATGCCTAATTCCGATTTGTTGCCTATATCCGATTTTTTGGACCGTCTGTTTACACGGTCTTTTTAATTGTGACCCATATCCGATTCGTGTGTTTACACTTGCTATAATTTCACGCATGCTGAACGGGGGTTTTTGCACGACACCGTAGCCAAGACGGACGAACGCGAAATTTGTTTTATGATAGCTTTGCGATGTATGCGAAGTTCGCCGAACAACATCACGATTTTGAGGCGAAGGAGGAGGAAAAGGGCCATCATTGCAGCCGAAACAGAAACAGATTTGTTTCTGTAGGAACCTTTAATTTTATCCTGAACGGATTCTTCTCCCCACAGGGTGAGAAGGTAGGCTATTTCAGGCGCCGACCACTGCCCTACACTTTCCTCCTCCATGTTTCGTGTGTTTCTTGAATGTTACGCTTCCACACGTACTTCCCACGTACGCTTCACGTACGCAGTTTAATGACGTACAGAACGCAATGCCTCAGAAAATCCGATCTGCCTGTTTACATTACAGTCGCATTGGCCCATATCTGATTTATTTCCACATATGAATGAGGCCTGAAACCGATCTAGAAATATCCGAATGCATGCGTTTTTTTCCCGTTTACACTGTCACAGAACAGATCCGATCTGTGTCACATATGAGCAAAAAATCGGAATTAGGTCGCATTTAACAGACAGTGTAAACGGGGCCTAACAGGTCTCGATGCTGTTCAGCCAATTGGCTACTTTAATATTAATTTAAATACTAGAACTCGTGGCCATAGGTGGAAATTAGCGGGAGAACATTTTAAACTGAATTTGAGAAAACACTTCTTTACAAAGAGTGTAGTTAGAGAATGGAATAGTCTCCCTGTTAGTGTAACGCAAGCTAATACCCTGGGTTCCTTTAAATCAGAGCTACATAAGATTTTAACAACTCTGAGCTATTAGTTAAGTTCTCCCCAAACGAGCCTGATGGGCCGAATGGCCTCCTCTCGTTTGTAAATTTCTTATGTTCTTACAACTCAGATGATATGTGCAATATATTGTAATGTCTGGAAGACCGAGGCATTAAGGCAGCAGCAAGAGATGAGGAAACACATTTTAAAGAGGAAAGAGCAACCTTTTACTAAGCACTTAAAAGAACTAACACAAGTACCAAATGACCACGGAATATCACATAGCAGGGAAACACAGGGAGGTTGGACCCAGACAGTGAGGCATACACGCGGCACGTAATTTATACAATGGCTAAAGAAATGCAAGGATTGGACAGGGTTCACGCCTGACACAGGCGAGGCCACGCATGGTAATCAGGAATGCGACAAGTATTCACAATAACACAAACAAGGGACTTTTTCCGCTTTGCCAGCAAAACCAGAAGCCCACTGCCTCTCCGGGGCACCCTGCTCTCCCTTTAGCATCCTCCATGCCTGCTGTCTCGTCAACACCCGCTTTGCCCCCTGCTGCCAGGTCTGTGTCTGCCTCACCTACCTAGCCTAACCCCTCTTTCTCAGGCAGGTTTCCTGGCTATTAGTGTCTTGGCAGAGTCATTAGCGGCATGGGTGCCATCTGCACGGCCAGGGTTCCCTGTTGGTGTGATCCCAGACATAGACATTCTCAGAACCCCAAAGCTTCCATCAGTCCAGTTCCACACACCCGCATCACCACCCCTTGGCCCAAGGGCACCTAGACCATGCCCTAGGGCCTATGGACAGCCATGCTCCTTCTCCTTTTGTTCCCCAATCTCCCATCATTCCTCGACCCTTTTACAGCCCAAGTCTCTTGTGGTTTCCATTTCTTTTTGGTACCTCTCCTATTCACCCTAGTGTTGTCTTGTCCCCTCTGGTGTTCCTTGTTGTTGTCAAATTTCACCTATTTGCATTTTACTTGTTAGTCTTATTTCCCTTACTCCTTAATGTCCTTGTCCCGTCAGTTTTGTTCCCCTGATTTCACTGTTGCCTTGTCTTGCCCCCCTTTCTGGTCTTGTGTACCCTGTCCAGTCTGGTGTCCTGTTTCTGCTGGTCCCAACCAGTGTTCTGTTTATCTTGGCAGTACCTCCCATGCCTGTAGTGCACACCATGTGGGTGTGGGGGTACTGTCATGATCTGCATCCATCTGTCCTGTCCCCATTTAGTCTTGTTTTCCAGGTGTGTATATATATGTCTGCCTTAACCCGGTCCCCCAGCTCAGTCATTGTTATCCAGCACTAGTAAACTCTGTTGATGTGTGCAGTACCATGAAATAAACCTTCTTTTGCGTTCAACCTCGTCAACATGTGGATCATCACTCCTCCGTGGGTAAAGCTGTCACTGGACCCACGGCTAATGTTTTGACAGAATCTGATCATTTTTATCCACCTAGACCAACTTGCAGAGCATCAGTATATCCGAGGAATAGTCTTAGACATTGACCTAGCGTGCACACAGAGTGCTGTATAGCAAAAGAATACTTGGTCAGAGATCAGTGGTTCCCAAACTTTCTCTGCAGGGCCCCCCTTTTCTAGATAGGAACATTATTGAGCCCCCCCCCCATTCAAACTGCACAGGTTCAGATTCAAACTTTATTTGAAATACAACTCCCTTTTCTAATTGAGCGAAACAAATGCAATTACAAAATGCAAGTGGTGCAATTTCACCACTGTGGGAGAAAAAAGAGCAATCAATTAAAAATAAAAGTCCAGCATACGTTTGAAATTATGCAAATGCAGATTTAACATTCCTGTTACTATTCATTGGCGTACACAAATTAAAGTTTGTTTCACGTTTACCGCATTATGTTTTTAATGATAACCGCAGGTTTCAGCCTATACTACCCATTAATTGATAGTCTCCCTGCACTTCATGTAGAAAATTTTAAACCTCGTTGTTCATGATATGGTTAGATTTTTTTGTCCGGCGCTGCAAAACGTCGTCACGCGTCACCATGTCATGTGGTACAAAGACCTTGCAAGAGCAAGACGATTTAAGACAGATCGTACAGCACCTGTCAGCCGGCTGAAGAAACTGGAACCGCCTCCGCGGCGACACAACTTTGCCCTTATTGGCTGAAGAACGTGACGTTTGTATCCCAGGAAGTTCCGGTGCGTTATCTGCTATTTCTCTCGAATATCACGTAAAGCAGTGAGAATGAGAACTGGTTTTCAGTTAATTTACCTGGTAAAATAAAGTTTAAATAAATTACATAAATGTTCTAATAGTACACGTAAGTTAGTGGTTTGTTTATTGTTAGTTACTGTAATGTTGCGCTGCTTTATTTGTTTAATTGTCCAGTCTGTGAAGAGATTATTTTAGGGTGACATATGCCCATGAGGCTATACCATTGGTGCGCCCCCCCAGTTTGGGAACCACTGGTCAGAGATGGAAAGGAGAAGAAAAAGAAATACATGCAAGATGAAGCATTATTTTTGCTAGGAGTTCAGTGCTTTTTTGGTGCATTACCACCAAAATTGAAACAGTAGTTTTTGGAGCTTGTGCCTTTGTCTCTGTTGCATTTCTGGGCTACCAGAGCTAGACCTCAGGTAAACAGGGCCACAAGAAAACACAAAATCAATTTCCACCAGATTTCACTGGGCGGCTAAATTTATTGTGGGGAGCTTGGTGAAATTTATCATGGGTGATTTTCGTTGTGCCACATTTTTGTGGGAAGAGTGTGTGAAGGCCAATTCATCCTTCACGTTTCCACTTTTCCACGTGCACTTTCGTTGTGGATGAGGGGAAGTGGCATGAATTTCGTCATCAGGGGTTGGCTGCAGACGGCTGTGGTCGGTGCACGTGTAGTCCAGATTTTTATGTCTAGCAGAAATCATGTGTGTCCGTGCAAATCGACCTTGCACGTGCAACATAATTGATTAGGTCTGGGGTCTCCAACTCCGGTCCTGGAGAGCTACCGTCCAGTAGGTTTTCTATCCTACCCGGCTTCTGATGAGCCACACCTGTTCTCAGGTAAATACCAGGAGCAGGTGTGGCTCATCAGAAGCCAAGTGGGACAAAAAACCTACTGGATAGTAGCTCTCCAGGACCGGAGTTGGAGACCCCTGGATTAGGTATTTCCAGTCCGGAGCAGCGCCAACATTTATAGATCAACAGTAAACGACAAAAGAGTGGAGGAACAAGAATAGTAGTTGTTGTTGTAGTAGTTATGATGAAGAGGGTTGAAGGTATCCGCCAGGGGTGCTGCTACAGATTTCAGGCCCCATGAAAGCATATACTATTGGGTCCCCAACCCAGAACCATCCAATTATGTTCCAAATTTTTTAGGGCCCCTCTCTGTCTAATTTTGTCATAAGGATTTCAAAATACCACCGTATGCCATGTTACTGTTATACTACCCAGGCCTAGACTAATAACTTTAAACTGTTCATAAAAGTTTACCTGTTTCACAATACTGCTTGTATGCATGGTTGTTGCAATACATCTGCCCCTTCAGGGCCTGGTGCTGTATACATGCCCCGACTGCAACCATCCACAGCCAAATGTAGTATGAACACAAGCTATGGTGCGGACGACAAAGCAAAGCGCACGCAGGAAAATGACATATGTGATTAGGTTTTAGGGGAGGCTTGTAATCATAGGTGTAGATTAGAGGGAGATGGGGGGGGGCATCCCCTCCAATATTGATACAGTGGAAAAAATACCCCCCCCCTTATCAATATAGTATAATATATTATATTACCCTTGTGTAAAATGGTTTATCCTAAAGTCCCGTTCAGGCTGGAGGACACTTAGGCAGAGTGTAAAGCTGCTGGCAGATTAAGGCGGTGCAGGTTCTTACGAAAGCTCGAGTTCGTGTCATTTAATGACAGAAGAATGACTGTATGGGTCCTTGTATGTGGTCTCTGATAGAGTAAGGAATTGTGAAATTTGCTGTAAAACTTACCTGTGCAGGGTAACCCCCCCAATATGCCTGTCACTCCTACGCCGTTGGTAATCGTAACTTTTTATGTGTTTGTATGTGTATAGAACACTTCATAATGGTCTGAACAGTAGCCACAAATTATGGAGATTAGCGCATCCGTGTAGATCTTGTTTGCACATGTCCCCCTTTTTGCAGAAGCATGATCGTTTATAATCTACAAAGCCTGTACTTTGGACAGCCTGTATCTCAACATCTGAAGACCATACATCGCAGGAGTATAATAATAATGTGATGTAATAATTAAAAGACATAAATATCAATGTCTGCCAGTCTGAGTGAGACTTTTATGCCAAAATTTACCCCTATGATGGTGACCTTTCTATATTTCACAGTCCATTAATCCATCCATTTTCCACCGCTTATCCGGGGGCAGGTTGTGGGGGCAGCAGGCTAAGCAGGGATGCCCAGACCTCCCTCTCCCCAGCCACCTCCTCCAGCTCCTCCAGGGGGATACCAAGGTGTTCCCGGGCCATCTGAGAGGCATAATCTCTCCAATGTGTCCTGGGTCTTCCCCGAGGTCTCCTCCTGGTTGGAAATGCCCGAAGCACCTGCCCAGAGAACCTGCATCCTTTCGATGTAGAGGAGCTTCCTCTCCCTTCTTTCCTCACTTGTTAACAAGACGCCGAGATACTTAAACTCTTCCACTTGAGGCAATAACTCATCCCCCACCAGTAGAGGGTAATCCACCTTTTTCCAGTCAAGAACCATTACCTCAAAATTGCAGGTTGCTGATCCTCATCCTGGCTGTCTCACACAGCTGCAACCCCCCCCCCCCCCCCAGTGCATGCTGCAGGTCACAGCCCAATGAAGCCAATAGAACCACATCATCTGCCAAAAGCAAAAACACGACCCTGAGGTCACTGAACCGTATTCTCCCCACCCTTTGGCTATGCCTATAAATTCTGTGCATATGAACAGAATCGGTGGCAGGCCTTGTGGAGTCCAACACCCACCGGGAAGGAGTCTAACTTACTGTTGGCAATGCAAATCAAACCCTCGCTTTGTTTATACAGGGACCTAATGGCCCACAACAACGGACTCTGTAGGCCTACCCCATACTCCCGAAGCACCCTCCACAAGCCCCCCCGAGGCACACGATCCTACGCCTTTTTTAGTCTACATAACACATGTAGACTGGTGACTCCCATGAACCCTCCAGTAATCAGAATCCTTTTACAAAAGTAGAAACACAAACAAACTATACTGTACAAGCAAACAAATAAGTAAACAAGAAAATGAATGAATGAACAAACAAATAAATAAATTCCCATGTTAACATTCAAATGTAACTGGCTGTAGGGAATAATTTAGTGTAACAACATTGTCTTGTCACATGAGCATCAAAATTGCTAGTTACGTAATTTGAAACATATTGATTTTATTTTTACTTTGGGACTATATTATAACTTTCTTGAAGTGCTGGGAGGCACAATGAAACCCCAAAGGCAATCTCGGTGATGGCTAACCCCAAAGGGGACTTTATTTGAGTGAATACAGTGGAAGTTAGAACAAGAAACAAGTAAAGAAAGACTGGCCTGGGAATAACAGGACGGAGGTGTACATATGTACAGTGAGGACAGACAGGTGTAAGACATCACAATGGACTAGAGACGATCAAACACAGGTGAGGGTCATAAGTGCAATGAGGGCTACAGGAGGGCCAGGTGTGAATGATTGGGGTTACAGGATGGCCAACAAGAGAGACCTCTGCTGGCCGAACGGGCACATGACAGGACTAAGTGAGAGAGGACATGGCATACACTTTGTGAGGGTCAGACTTTGTGTTGGTAAAATGGTTAAAGGTGAATTTTTGGAATTGATAAACTTGTGCTTATGATAAACGGAAAGGATGACATTCTAGAATTTTAAATGACTTAAGTATGTAAGTCTGAGTAACAATTTTACAAAATTATTATGCCAAATTTCAGCTTGTTAGAATTACCAGTGTAGTATATAAAATCTTAGCCTCATTTTTTTTCTCAATCAAAATATTTTGCCATGGACACAGATGAGTATTGGCATGGATATGTTTGTCTGCGTATGGGTTGTCACCATTTACTGGACATACGGCAATTGCAGAATGCTTCTGCGGAAAAAAAGGCTCCATTTTGCATTGTTCTTAGTCTATACTGATCAAAATTTTGCATAACTTTTGAATCAAGCATTTGAATTAAAATTTTCAGCAAAGCAGCATTGTTTCTGAGATCATTTTTTAGTGTTTCAGGGAGATGAAATGCAATCCAAGTTAATTCCAAAGCATTTATATATTAGTTACTATGTCACAGCAATCGTGAATGGCATTTTTGACATGCCACTAACAATGTAGTATCTTATAAATTATCCCTTCACAATTGCTGTATATCAAGTACAAATTTCCTATTGCTGACTGTAAGACATGCTGGGGTTTTTAACAAGAGAATGGAAAGAGGAATGAACACAAAAGGCAGTCCAGAAGAAGGAGAACACACGGGGTGGGCATCTCTGGAAGGACGGCACCTGGGTGACGGACAGAGCAACCAGATCTAGTCTGGGGCTGAGAATCAAAAATAAGGTTTGATTTGAATTATTGGTGATTATAGGTACCTGTGAATAAAAGGGCTGGTCAGAATGATAACTGTATTCCTTATGAATAGGAATGAGGAATAAACATATTTTTTGTGTGTTCTGGCATATGGATAAATGACACTCCTGCATTATAGCTATAGTTTGAAAACCAAAGCTTAGAAGTTAAGTTATGACAAGTTACAGAAGACAATCAGAAATGCATGAGTATGAATAAAGTGGGATTTGAAAAATTGTGATCTTTATATTTAAGAAATTATCGAACAATCATTTTTTTTAAAAGCATGAATGCAACTGGAAAAGGTTCTATATCAACAGGTCTATTGACAGGTCTCGTGTACTTTTCCAAGAGCGTTTTTCCAAGCGTTTCAAAGTGCCCCTGTAGAGAAGATATTCATGTCACAGATTTAGTATTCTCTCCATGAATATGGGTCAAGTACTACTCTTGTCCAAATTCTGTTGAATAAGGTGAGAACAAAATTATCATTTCAATTGATTTCAAGTTCATTCATTAATGTTGCACGCTTGTTATGGTTTTACTTTTAAGGACAAAATTAAAATGACATCTGTAAAAAAGTTGGTATTTTATTCTTTTGATTAATTTGGCGCCCTCTAATGTCGCTGTTAACTGTGTTCAGATCAGTGAATGGAATTAAATTGGAAGCTATACTTAGCATTTAATACGTCGAGTATTCGGCAGTGCGTTGCATCTGTTTTCATATTCCCAGTATCTTTCATTAAACGCCTTCAGTATGATGTTACAAGTTTTCAGCAATCGTTTTGTTAGTTTTGTGAATATGAAGCTCACAGCCAGCAGAGCTCCTCCAGCCGCGGCGTCTTCGCGTCCGTGACGTCATCAAGGCGCGCCGCAGCGGCTGTGGATGGCGCCATCCTGACAGCGTGTGTGTTTCTGCTTACCGCTGACACCAGCGCACTTTCTACTTTTTACAAGACTCTTTGTCACAGGTAGGTGATATTAAATAATCATGTTACCAGACCGGACAGCATCTCGCTCTCTTAGTTCCGTGGCGAGATAACGCTTTTTTACGGTTATTTAGGCCTAGGCCGACGTTTGTAGGTGCTCTGCTGTTTACACGTTTCGGTTGTAAAGAGAATTGTGCCAGCTTCGTTCAGCTGTTCTCTTATTAAAGCAGACTCGTGCCCTCTTCGTTGTCACGGCTAGATCGTCAGGTCCGTTCAAGGAACATAGGAACATCGTTTAAGTCGTATATGCATTACGGTTTCCCTTAGAGACTAAACACGCGTTGTATGAACTAGTTGTGTAGTTCGGCACTTTAGTCCATGCGTGTGATGCGTGTATTTGCTAACAAAACATTTTTTCAGCTTGCCGTTTCCTCGGTCAGCCAAATACGTGTTTAAGTAGGCCCTGGCTCATTAATTGACAGTAACAGCACTTATAACTAACTTGCTAGTTTCTGTTTCTAGTTTCTCTTGCTAGTTATTAACTTATTTCTAGTTATTAAGTCATTTCTGTTATGTTTTGAGTACATGTTACTTCTTACAGATCTGTATCCTTTATTTATAGGGGTTTCGTCACTGCCAAAAGTGTATATATTCATGTTATCGTCCATATACAGTAATGGTGTCATGTATTTATGTATTACAAATAGCTTAAAGCATAAACAAAAACGCATGTTATGGGTCATTAGCCAATCGTATACACCTGAACTTCATTTAAAGAAATTATGTATCCATTTTGTGTCAGTTGGATATATTGGGCCAGGAGCACAAATGACCTGCAAAAGCGGAGGCTGGTTGTCTACTGTTATGTAGCTCATTTTACATGTGTGGAGGCTTGTTGGCTCTAGCTGTGGGTTGTGACTCTATTTCCATGCTCAGAAGGTTGCTCTTTAAACTCTCATGACCGACAGAGTGATTGTATCACTGTTGGGCCCTTTAGCAAGGCCTGTAACCCTGAACATTGCTCCAGGGACCCTGGAACAATAGCAGACCCAGTGCTCTGACCGCTTCTAGATGTTTGAGTCTGTGTGATTGCACGTCTGTGTCTCTCAGGAGGGTAAGATGGAGTATGCAAAGATTAAAGAATTCCTATGTACCTGCATTTGTGCACATCGGCAAATAATGCATCATTGTCATTGGTGGTGGTTTGACAGGCATCTCTCAGAAATCCGAGACAAGACGTTTGCCTTTGGAATTGTTATGCAAATGTATTATATGTCCCTATTGTAACAGCGCTAAAGCCGAACGCACAGCCTACACTGGTTATCTTGGGAATCAGTCTAGAGCACCATCATGGTTAAATGTAGCCCAGGCTGGGTGATTTGGCTGAGATCAAGTCCCACCATGTTTAGTTTGGTTCAAGTGGGCTTCATGCTGAATGCCGTTTTCATTAATTAAGCTGATGTAAAGTCTGTAGTGCTGCAGTTCCGAATACAGTTACTCTGTCTACTTCTACCATCTAAACTAAACCCTTAATCATATTTAAATAATTTCAGTCATTTTATTTTAATATTATTTTTCAGATTTGAGAATGGTGATTTATTAATCCGAGGGTGAAGTAACATTAGTTATGAATTTATGATCAGTATGTGCATCAGCTTCTGGAGTGATGGCTGTAGAATAGAAGGTGGGGATGGTGGCATTTCAGAAGGTTGCTGTCATGTGCTCAAGTTGTCTGTTTGTCTAATTGCAAAAATCCATGGAGTTCATAAGATAAGAGGGTATATGAAGAAACATTTGGAGTATTTTGCATCTACAGTAAGCACAATGTAATTATTAATTATGCTTTGATTACAGTACTGTTGTCATGTCTATCAGCAATTATATTTAGTTATTTAAAAAATAATAATCAAAAAGTACATTTTGCAGCCAGTTTTTTTTGTGTGTGACCTTGGCCCTCTAGTGGTGTATTTGTGTATTAATTGTTTTTATCGAGCCTGCAGCCCTTTAAAATAAAGTCGGTATTCAGCCTGACACTATGGATGTCCTTCCCACTGCCTTGCGTGTCCAGTTTGCTGGGGGCAAATAAGCCCCCCCTGCGGGGACCATTATCCTGAAAGGCAGCAGACTTTGTTCATGCCAGTTGTCGAAAGCCACCCAGAGACTTGCACACATTTCGGTCAGTAGGTGGCTGATGTCTGTCTCTGTTGTGTCCTATTCAGGTTTTAACAGTTCAAAGAGCTTTGTAATTCTCAATTCAATGTTAAATTATGTCATGGGGTCTAAGTAGCCGCTGTGTGACTGGGATAAGAGAAACTGGGGAACCTTTTTCCTCCTTGTTGTATTACTGAAGATTTTATCGCATGTGTCTATTGAGTCACTTAATGAAAACACAATGTGAGTCGTTGAGAAATTTGTTTTCAGTGAGATGCTGTTGTTTTAATGTCAAATCCTCGTATGCATGAAAGCACCCGGCTCGGCAGTTCGTCAGCCTTCAGGTTATGAGGTATGTCATGAATGTAATATCCTAAGGTTTGAGCTACCAACACAAACAGGCTGGTTGTGATGATAACCTGTTTGTTTTTGGCTATATTACACTGACTGATAATTAAGCCAATTTTACATTTAACCCGTTCATAATGCTTTATAGTCAATAGTTTGTTCACACCTGCTTGAAATGAAAGTTAATGGGAGTAAATGTTGGTCTAATGAATCAAAAATTGAAATATTTAGGTTGAACTTGCATGTCATAATGAGAGTGGCTGAGTTCTGCATGTGTGGATCCTACGATCAGGCATGGGGGGGCTGGGTCATCGTCTGCGGTTACTTTGCTGGTGACGGAGTTGATCTCTGTCAAATCGATGGCAGTGTCTACCAGTCTGGCTGTGGTAGCTATAATTATTATAGAATGACATAGTAAAGCCGTCTTTTATTCTTCAGCAGGATAGCAGCCCAAAGCACACCCCATGGAACATGAAGGACTGCTCTAATGACCCGGCCTGCCCAGTCTCCAGACTTCACAGTCCCATAGAACAATGTCCTTGAACATTAGTATATTCTGCAGGAACACATAATGTGCAGTATTTTGTAATTATATATTGTATTCTTCACTATAGGGCCATCTTGACAACAGTTCTCATGTTACGCATTTGTGTCCGTCTATATATTGTACTGTGCAAAAGTTTTACGCAGTCTAAGAAAATTATGTTGAAATTATATTCATATCGGTGTAAAACTACGATGGTGCCATTTGACGTTGCACAGATACTTAGTAATAACTCTGTTACTGCTGAATTACAAATCGGGAACAAATATAGTCGCTACTTGACATAAAATATGCGTCACGATTCATTAATGAACAAATATGAAATCAGTATTTCACATGTTATTCATGACTTGTTCCTTCAGTAGTTCTTTAGTGGTTCCTTCAGTAGTTCAAAAAGGTTTACAGAATTAAATATATGTATATGAGATCAGTATTTAATAATAACCTCAATTTAATGAAAATCTGCGAATGCAGTCAAACACCAAAATATCTAAAAGTCTTATATTTTGTTTGGTTACTTATGGTTAAGGTTATCATATTTAGGATTAGGTTTATATCCATAGAAATGACTGGACAGTCCACGCAACGATAGGAATATATGAGCGGTGTGTGTGTCCGTGCGCTCACGCCCTGATGTGGACTGGCACCCTGCCCTGAGTGTCACCTGCTGTGATAGACCCCATGGTGGTTCTGACCCCGTACTGGATAAATGGTTCCGAAAACTGGAGTTATGGATGTTTTTTTTTTTTTTTTTTTTTTGTGACAATTTCAAGTTGTACGCACTGTTTTTTTTTCTAGGACACAAAAGGGTTTCTGTGTTTTTTTTTAATGCATGTCTTTAACAAATTGAGCTTGAGACCCCTTGTAATTTATACAGAAATATTTTATTTTTTTATTTCATCAAGGCTCCCTGGCAAATCTGCCGGCATTTGTCATGACTGCCATGCCCTTGTCCCTTACAGAAAACACATTCAGTTTGTTGTGCGAAGGATTTTTGAATTGCTGTACTGCTGTACACAAATTTGCATTTCATTAGCGAGAAGGTGAAATGCACTTGTAAATATTCACAAGGTCGCGGTCCTCTGTTTTGATGTTCAGACAGTTTGCCGGGGATATTTAGAGTGCCTTAATGCCTAAGGGAGCTCGAAGCAACAGGCCGAGCTCTATCCTAGCTGTTCCTTTATGGTCTAAACACTCAGACAGGGATGACACTTCAGTCCCCATTTTCATATTTGTTTTGGCTCATTTCAGCAATAATTTAGTTTGCGTTAAGTTTGTTTTATTTTTGGGATGTTATTTCACCTGTCTCCTAGTCTGGTTATTAAAAATAAAATTCTCTCCAAGCACTATATAAATGTTCTTCAGTGGATAATTTCCTTAGCAGACAAAGGAAAAAGTCACCACATGTATCCTGTGAATATAATATGAAGCATTTCTTATAAAGAGTTTCTCAAATGTCACTGACATTTTTCTTTCTGCTTGTGTTGGATGTCTAGGATTATCTAGTAGTATCTAGGGCTGCCGCGATTAGTCGACGTAGTCGATGACATCGACGCGGAAAATGCGTCAACATCAAAATTTGAAATTGACGTATCATTTTTAAATTTTAATAAAATTACCATTATGATTCCTAAAATCAAACTATGGAATTGAGGTCCAGGTTATGAGAGACCTGGGCTGCATCAAATGGGTCCTCAAGACCAATGTCTCCCTTTGGTGAGCAGGACTGTTTGGTGCTGGTTCTCCCTCTACCATGCGAGGAGTGTTGCTGCAGACGCTTCCCTTGTATGGTTCCCCAGTAGTGGAATGAGCTGCCCAGTCAGCTTATCAATGAGGATTTGCTGAAAAGCTTAGAATGCTTTTGGTGAGACCAAGAGTGCCACTAATGAAACTGAAACCTTGCCTTTGGATCTCGCCTTCTCTTTTCCAGTAGAAAATAAATGGGTGTAATCTGGTCTGCAGTCTTGACCAATAGTATGTGTGGGCTTCATCTTGAAAGACAAAGGAGAAATTCTTTGTCCCTCAAAGCCATCACACATTTTAGTCTACAATTTTGGTACACTTTAGGCTATTAGGCTATGAAAGAAACAGATTCAAATGTTAAATTTCGCTAAGACTCTGTAGTAGGAAATAAAACTTGGCAAGTTTTGCAATGATTGTTCCTTTTAAAAAGTCATAGATGGGTTTATGAGAAATACTTTATTTCTTGGCTTGCCATCCACATCTCTGCGAATCTGTTCTTCTGACCAGTTAAAATTTGGGTCTTTGTATTTTTTCCATGCATCCATTATTTTTTAAAATTAGTTTATCATTGTTTCTGAGTTCGTAACTATGCTTTTTCTTGGCCAGTGGTTGTATTTTGTGTTTCAGTGGCAGGTTATTTGCGTAACGCATAACCAGTTGACGATGAACATGCTTAAAAGTCCCACCCCAAAGTCCCAAAGTAGTACCCCGGTGGTTTGCTGCTTTAGTACTAGTCCTGGAGCAGAAATAAAAAAATAAAAAAAAGTACCAATTTTTTTTTTACTACCAAAAGTTCAGCACATGGTGCAGCCTACGCACCATAAGTATTCTTGAATCGTGCTTTGAATCGTCACCAGAGTAATAAATAATATGTATTGTCAATACTTTTGCTGTGTGCAGTATTTAGTATTCTTTTGGTCAAATATTTGGCTGTCTGTTATTTAGAAAGTAGCTTTTGTAATTCCCTTCGCTTTCATTGTTGCGCTGGTAAGTCGCAGTAACACAAATAGCAAGGCACAGAACTGTTTATGGGCTCCTGCTTAGATAACCTATAAGAAATATTTACCTTAAAATGTCACATGAATTTAAGCTCCGTCGGGTTTGTTTACTTCTTTCCTCAACGCAGGCCTGCCTGGCCTTTTACTGCACATTAGGTCACAGCTGCTCCTCGGAAGCTCTGAGTCAGAATTGTATTATTGTTCCAGAACCTAAAGGATGTAAATTCAAGAAGAGAGTGAGTGCTGTGCTGACCTGTGCAGATGCTGTGCTGACCTGTGTAGATGCTGTGCTGACCTGTGTAGATGCTGTGCCAGCTCCTCTGTGTGGTGAATGCTTACTGTATCTGCCAGTTCTTTCCCTTTTTCGCTCCCTCCGCAATTGCAGAAGGTGCTGGGGGAGAGGCAGCCGCTAAGATGGCTTTATACTGAGCGTACGCGACATGAAGAATGGCCTTTGTTTCCTCAGGGATCCCATGGACATCAACAGTGCCAGTTCTGTGGTCCTGCAGGCCCTGACACAGGCCACCAGCCAGGACACGGCGGTGCTGAAGCCGGCCGAGGAGCAGCTCAAGCAGTGGGAGACGCAGCCGGGCTTCTACTCTGTCTTGCTGGTACCCCCCCCCCCGACACACACACACACACACAAATCAGGCCAAACTGTCTGCAGACTCGTCGATAGATGGACAGCTGTTGGGTGGAGCCCGCTGGTACCAGCTGGTGCTGCCTCCCCTGTTGAGGACCCTCTGTTCACTAATAAGTACATATGTATGCGGAATGGCGGTGGACTGTGTAAGGCAGTGTTTCTCAAACCGGTACGCGGGGCCCCACAGACGGTCCACGTTTTTGCTCTCCCCCAATTCCCTGGCAGTTGGGAGGGAGCAAAAACGTGGACCTTCTGGAGGTTCCTGAGGACCGGTTTGAAAATCACGAAGTAAGGGACATACCAGAGGTAGTATGACTTTTTCAGTGTAACATTTGCTTTAAGTTTTTGACAGTTTATCCAAAGTATGAATTTTTCTTTCTGCACAGTTTAATGCAGAATGTCAGATGCATGATTTAATTTAGTGTCTTTATTCCGTAGTTAAGGTTTAATAATGAGAATAAACAGAGCTGCTTTATTCCGAGATTGACACCCCTTTCTCTGTGAAGATCCTCAGGCGTTTTTGCAGGCATTGATTGCTTGGATTCTCAGAAATCAGGGTCATGTGCAAAGTCACAGTTGATCAGACCCTCTAAATTGGTATAATCTCTTTATGCAGTGAAGTGGGGTGACAGACCATCTTTGCTGTGCGAAAACTTAATAGGCATTTACTCTCGATCGATTCATTCTGGGCCCTTCTGCAGTGCTCCTGCCACCATGTTCTAGCCTGTTAGAAACGCAGTGGCTCTAAACTGCCTCTGTTGTGTGGAGGCTAACGGGAACAACCCCGGCACCCACCTTGGCACCGTCGGCATGGTCATGAAGTGTTGCTGAGCGGGTATTTCATTAAAGGTCAGGTTGTGTGTTTGCTTCTGTGAGACGGCCTTCCTGCTCGCAGTTTATGGGTGGTGGGAGAATGAAAGGGCAGCACATTCACGAGGGAAGGGGAAGTTTAATCACAAGTATAGACACAACAAGCAACTTAGCAAATAAATTGGAATAGAGAAGGATGGGCTAACAGGTAAACAGTGTGACAGTTTGTATGTTTTCCCAAGTTTTTGCAGAATATCACTAGAACTAGCCAATTTGAAACCCCCGCATGACTATATTGGTACATCCCTGATATTGCTAACTACCAAGTCATCTTAAGAAAGGGGGGGAGGGAGTGTCTTCATTTTCTAAGCAGAATTTATGCAAAGCTGCTATTGTAGAAGACAGGCTGTGTGAAATGTCAGTGTGGGGGAGGGGGTAATGAGCACCATGGGATTATCGCGCCGTGAATTCTGCTTCATACTGTTGTAAAAGTAATGAACCCCGGCCATCTGCCTGCCTCCACCCATACGCCTGCCTCCACCCATACGCCTGCCTCCACCCATACGCCTGCCTCCACCCATACGCCTGCCTCCACCCATACGCCTGCCTCCGGCCATACGCCTGCCTCCGGCCATACGCCTGCCTCCGGCCATACGCCTGCCTCTGCCTGCCTCCACCCATACGCCTGCCTCCACCCATACGCCTGCCTCCGGCCATACGCCTGCCTCCGGCCATACGCCTGCCTCCGGCTATATGCCTGCCTCTGCCTGCCTCCACCCATACGCCTGCCTCCGGCCATATGCCTGCCTCTGCCTGCCTCCACCCATACACCTGCCTCCGCCTATACACCCACCTGCACCTGTCTGCCTACCTCTGCCCATACGCCCGCCTGCACCTGTCTGCCTGCCTCCACCCATACACCCGCCTCCACCCTTCTGCCTGCCTCCACGCATACGCCCGCCTCCGCCCTTCTACCTGCCTCTGCCCATCCCCTTGCCTCTGCTCATCTGTGCGCCTACGCCCATGGCTGCTGCCATCGTTGAGCCACGTCACAGTGAGGCCTTGCTGACTGGGGACTACCCTTTATCTGAGTTTAGAGGTGGTTGCTATGGTGCTCCTGGATTCCATTTGCTGAATACTAGTATTCGAAGCCTGGACTGATGTTTCACGTACATCGATAGCTGGCCCTCTCCAGTCTCTGGCGTATGGTGTGATTCTTTTACATTGTTAGTGACACCTCAGAACAAGGTGAGGCAGTGAGTTCTAAGAGCCTTATAATGCTTTTGACTTGTAAATCTTACTCCGTTAGCAGTATATATTGATTGGTGTTAGAATGTTCAGTGATCAATGTTAAAGTTTTGGTAGCAGAAATCCTGATGGCTGATAAGATGCTTTTTTTGTAGCCTAATTGTTTGTTCCCCCTCTAGAATATCTTTAACAACCACTTGCTGGATGTGAATGTTCGATGGCTGGCTGTCTTGTACTTCAAGAATGGGATCGACCGCTACTGGAGACGTGTTGCCCCCCAGTAAGTCCCTCTGCCTCCCGCAGTCCATCAGTCCATGGGCTGGAACTGCACTGACTGTAGCCGGGGGAGGTTAGGTTGTACTCATACTTGTACTGTGCCTGCGCATGATTGCACCCCCCCCCCCCACCCTGCACATAGGAATGAAATCAGCAGAATTGAATTCATGATTAATGTCCTTCTTTTGTTGCTTGTTTGGAGTCATTTTGGGCACAATGACACACACAAGTTTATCAAGTATGCAACTTGCCATGGTATCATATTTGTTTTGCTAACATTTCTTTAGTTCCGGTACTGAGTACACAACTACAGACATTGCCAATGCTATATATAACACTAACCATGTACTCAAATTGTCTGAACCACTGCTGAAATTCAAAGTGATCTTATAATATAGCTAGATCTTATATAGCAAACAGGCTACGTTAACATAATCGAAACCAGCATCTGTACCTACACTGTGTTTTAAACAGTTAGATAATCAAGCTTAATGAGCTGCACGGGAAGTTTTTTCATATGTTTATTGAGCGGACGAATGAAAGAAAGCAGTAACTGCTATAACCTTTAAAGGCTCTTTCATTATCTGTTTGCTATTTTTTTTTTTTTTAACAGTGGACAGTAATGGTGATGAGTTTGATCATAGAAGAAATACGTTTTACAGTTTTGCATGCTTGTGTTTTTTTTTTCCCTCGTTCGTCAGTGCAGCACCCTCTCCAAATCCATATGGACGAATCAGTGTTAATTTTGACTGCAAATTTTTACTTAGTTTTAGTCATAGTCTCTTGACTAAAATATAATTTAGTTTCAGTCATAATTTAGTCATCTAAATTATTTTAGTTTTAGTTGACTAAATATAAGATTAGTCAACTAAAACTACAGTTGATTTAGTCGACTAAAATTAAAAGTGCAAAGTGTAATGTTTAGTTTCCCTTCGATTTCTGAAAGTCGTTATGTTCACCGACATGAAATGAAACCATTGTTAAGGAATAGTATTAAGGTCTGACTGTGCAGTACACACACAGATTTCACTCTTATTTTAAACACAAACACATGTTTATTTAACCAGAAACTGAGTACTGTAAAATCAGTAGTGCCATTAGTGCAAAAATAAAATCACTTCAAAGAAAAAGTGCATAGGCTACAATGCCACCCGGCCTGCTCTCTCTGAATATTAAAATAAAAATATTAAAATAAATATTTGTAATATTTTCATTTGCTATTGTTCGAGTTAAATGTTTCACCTGAAATTCTCAAATATGTTCAAAGAAAAAGACCAATAATGGTATCAGGGATTTATACCAATTATCAAGAAAAAAAAATTCCAAACATTAGAAACATACTTCTCAACGGCTCTCAGTAGCAGGAAGTGCAATCATTCTATTTTAGCATTTTCAGCATCAAAATAATTACATCAAGGCTACAATTCTATTAGTGTATCGAGCCAAAAATCAACTCTCCTCTCTTTCAGGTGATTTCATGCTCATTTAAGTTTCTGCTTTTTTAACAACCTTATAAAGTTATTTGTTATATAAATCAACTCGGGTGAAACAAAAAATGTAGGAAATCTTATGTAAAATCTATATTATTCCATTATAATCCTAAAATTAGCTACGTCCTATACCTGCCTATAAAATTAGCTAAGTGTAATTACACGGTTAAAATACAAAAGTAGACTATTTACAAGGTAAGAACTGTTACATATGTTTGCAGACATCTCGAATTGAAAATCTCATTCCAGCCAGCTGGCCGAAGTTGGCAACCCCGCGTTTTATTTGAAATGAAAAGTAAAATGCAATGTTTTCGCCTGAAATTGCTTGTCATTCCGTTTGCGTTGTTACTCCAACAAATATAAAACGAATATGAGAAAAACACAACATTTTATATCTATTCGAAATAGTGAGACTGCCTATATCCTACTCGAATAGCGATTAAAGTGATAAGTTTGTATGTATTTATATTAAAACAAGACTTTGATTTTATTACTGGTGTGGGATTATCGAAACCAATACTTAAATCCATGAAAACTAAAATATATGACATAAACACAACTGTATTAGGGTTTTACAGCTTAAGTTAAGCACTTTATATAAACATGCACAATTTTCACATTTTATTTATTTTCTCTTATTTTTAAATGTAGCCCTACTTTTATTTAGTAAATGAGAAAACATTATACATATCGGCAGCCATACATTTATGTTCAGTTCTCTGTCACATGACAATAAATATCGTCAAAAAGTTTTTGAATTGTTCTGAATTTTACAATTATTAGGCTGCTTAAAAATATTTCACACTAAATAGTTAGACATTATGATCTTCAGGACCTTTGCTTCAAGAAATTTTCTCTGACTGGACCTCTTCAAATTTTAGTTGAATAGCCCCGCCTTATGCGAACTACATTAGTTCTGATTGGATCTTGTCTCTGGCAAACATTTTCATCTCGTTTTTGTTAGTTGACGAAAGTGTCAATACACTTCGTCATAGTCTTAGGCCTCGCAAAATCATTTTTATTTAGTTATTGTCTCGTTTTAGTCTGAAAATAAAGGTTGTTGACGATAACTATGATGAAATTTTTTTAACAAAATTAACACTGCTCCCAATACTCACTCTTTTCGCAGTGCAGTTTTGCAGAAAGAAATGACACAATATGTCTCTACCCAATTTGTTCCTTCCAGGTTTGGTTCATTATAGCATACATGTGCGCATGCATGTGTCAGTGGCATCACTGGTGTCATGTCTGGGGTTTGTATCCGGGCATGGTTAGGATCACTAGTGGTGGACAAAATGACAATTTTTGACTCGAACCATTTGCTGTATTTTTTGACCCCACTGCATGGTGCTCTCGGTTTGCTTTAGGGCATCTTAATGCCCATTTTTGAACAAAGAGCACCATCTACTGGGGTAAAATAAATACAGCAAATGGTTCATGAAGCATCGTTTTGTCCATCAATTGCGATCACACAACATCTGTACCCTGCCAACTAATGGTGCTCTGGCCCACCTCTCCAAGTGGGCCAGGCTTTAGCTAAGCACACCGCACCTGGGCACTGTACAGAGCAATCATGCTAGTCAAGTGAACTGGACTTCTAGGGCCAAATGTGCTTGGACACAGTACGGAATCAGCTAATGTGAGTACACTCTTAATCTGCCCTTCCAAGCAGCCAGTCCCTGGATCTCTGGTCTATTGCTTTTGAGTTCCTGGTGTCTCCTGTGTTAGATATTACCAGACAGTCCTGCTTTTAACTGGTGTGCCTGATCCTCAGGGTCCCTCAATCGGGAGCAGCATGGATGGGAGTGAGGGGAGTGGAAAGTGACTGACAGCATGCTGCTTTCCCCAAGATAGCTTTAAATGCGCCTGTGTGGTGTGTCGATTATTATGGTGTTGTTGTCGTGCTCGTCCTGGTCTAGACCTTGAGGGAGGTCTTTCTGAACAAGCATGGTCACGCCTGAGGTCCACCCCAGATTCCGCTTTAGTCTTTTAAATGTCTGTCGTCCCAGACAAACCCCCAACTTCATCCCCCAAAGGGTTGGCGCATGTGTATATATATATATATATATATATTAGTATGTGTGTGTTTCAGGATTCCAACCTTATTATTTCCCGGTGTCAAGTTGCAAAGAATATCAGTGGTATTGGTTGCCACCCTTCACAAGTAATGGGTTTTGTGTCCCATCACTGTCAGAATAGCCATCCTCTATGTCGTTCATGTATGGCCATTCTCGCTCTACGCATTCACTTGGCCCGAATGGAGCATTTCTTTTAATGCGCAAAAATGTTAATCGCCCATGTCGAATCTAGGAGTGCTGCCTTCCGGTGGCGGGGAGACATGGTTTATGTAGAATACTTTAAATTAGATTCCTTTGTCAGACTTTTCAGAGTCGCAGTTCCGATTGAGTTTGCAGCTCTCTCTTCTCTGCCCCCCGCCCCCTGAAAGTGGCAGTTAATTTTGCAGTCTGACACCCGCTGATGCGATGTGCCGAAGGCGCTTCAACATGTTGAGATTAGAAAGTGTCGTCTGACCCCTTGGGGGTGTCACCTAGCCAGCCAACGGCGGCTTGCACTCGACCCCACGGCCTTTCCCGCAGGTGGGAAACGGTAGGAGCATAACTCCCGATAATCTTCGGGAAATGTCAGCGCTTCGCTGCCTCCGCCGTCGTCCTGGAGAAGAATGGCCATTAGCGTTTCTCACCCTGACATTTCCAAGTCAAGCTGTTAACCCAAGCGTGTGCAGGGGCTTATTTGATCCTGGGGTGAGTGGATGCGTGTGAGGCCCCCCTGCGTGTCTTCTCATTGTGCGGCGAAGGTAGTAGTGCTTGGTTGGTGACTCCACACAAGAAAAGGTTGAACATTAACATAAACTCGATCTAACAGGGGTCAGACTTGCTTGTTGTTGTTGTTTGTAAACTGGTTAACAGTGTTTTTTTGGTCGTCAGTGCGCTGTCAGAGGAGGAGAAGACCTTGCTACGTGCTGGCCTCATCACCAACTTCAACGAGCCGGTCAACCAGGTCAGTGCTGTCAAACCTCCAACCCCCAGCACCAGACGGGGGCCCTGACACATCTACCAGCTTAAAAATGTCCAACTGAGGTCATCTGTACAGATTGCAAAAAGTCCAGTCACTTGTAATAGGACAGAATCTGCACAGAGGTCAGTTACGTCACTTTGGGAGGGCTGCTTTTCTCTGGGGGGTGAGGGGAGGTTGAAGAAGATGCAGAGCCTTGAGTGTAGGACTGATAAATATTCAGGGGACACTAAGGAATCAGGCAGCCGCAGTGAGTTTGGTTGATATCTCACGTGTGTACGAGCCTACTAATCTGAAGCTGGCCTGAGTATCGGTGCCTGCCTGTTCCCTGACAGATCGCCACACAGATCGCGGTACTGATCGCCAAGGTGGCCCGTTTGGACTGCCCACGTCAGTGGCCCGAGCTCATCCCCATCCTGCTGGAGTCTGTCAAGGTGCAGGACGGCCTCCAGCAGCACCGAGCCCTGCTTACTTTCTACCATGTCACCAAGACGCTGGCCTCCAAGCGACTGGCCACAGACAAGAAGCTTTTCCAAGATGTAAGTGGGGCGACCAGTACCTGTGTTTGGGTTTGGGAGGTGATGGAGCTGCTCTGCTTGTAAGTGGGGCGACCAGTACCTGTGTTTGGGTTTGGGAGGTGATGGAGCTGCTCTGCTTGTAAGTGGGGCGACCAGTACCTGTGTTTAGGTTTGGGAGGTGATGGAGCTGCTCTGCTTGCTTTGTGGCACAAAAATGTAAAGTTATCGAACTATTCAGCTAGTTCTGAAGATAATCTCTCTCCCTTATTTTTATACAACTTATTTATTTCTGCTGAGTAGCAGCAGCTCCTCCAAAATGCACGGAAAGGGGTTTATTTCTGCAAACGCCCGAGTTGGTCACAGGGAAGCCTGATTTGCTGACTTGTTTCAGCCTAAGGAGTGTCCAATTTGGGGGAACGTTCAAAGTTCTTTATCGACCGGAGCAGACATTCAGGAGACTGAATAGTCAATCAGTTCGACTGAGGGCTGCCCACGGGGCGACGCAAGTGCTGCCAGGGCCGCAACGGAGAGGAAAACGAGGGCCCCGGAGAGAAAGCGCCCTCTGGTGGAGAGCTGGGTTCCAGAATGTTCTGGGGGTGCACTGTTTAGTAGTCAGCTGTACAGTGTGTACATTTCGCTGCCATTTTTAGTAAAAGCCCTAAATTGAGGCTCGTTATCCCGAAAGATTTAATTAGACTCTTTCGATGCTCTTTTACTTTTGACAAATGAAATATCAGCATTTTTAGGATGATTTAAAAAATTTTGCCAATTTCAATGAAGTGTGCAGCTCTGCTTTTGGAGATTCAGGTTTTACTGGGGGGGAAAATATCGCCCAGAGCTTTTTTTTATGGTATTAGTCATTCTTCATGGGACTCACCTTGGTTTTAAGTCCTCACAGCTTTACACTGCTTGATTGCCAAGTGAAAACTCCAGTGTGGGTGTCGTTCTGGACTTTCTGTGCCCCCACCCCAAAAAAAGCTCATCCCTAATAGTAGCCGCTGTCATGCATTTCACACTCTTCCTTTCATGAGTTTAAGGTGGGAGATGGAAGGTGTCGTTCTCATCCGATCTCTTGAGATCTCCATAGAAGATGTTTCAGAATAACCAATGTCCGCTAATATTTCAGGTGTGAGGTGGTGGTGGTGGTGGTGGTGGTGGTGGTGGTGGGGGGGGTTCATTAACTTTTTTTTTTTTTCTTTTGCTTTTGCTTATTTAATTTCCCCCTGCAGTCAACCCAGATTTAAGGACTGTTTAATTATCTATACATATTTATGATCATGCTGCACTTTCGTTTTCTTTTTTTTTAACGTGGCATACAGAAAGGTATGCTAGAGAAAGCGAAGGCTTCCACCCGTTAGTACTGTGGCTCAGTCTCACGGCAGCTCTCTGATTCTAACGGTGATGAACAGCATGCTGAAGTTAGCGGAGGGGAAATGGAGGTATTCAGGTTATATAGTGTAAATATAACCGCTCATGTGGTCCTTGTCTTTGGCTGTCGGACTGGACAGGTGATTGATTAAACTTTTGGGAGAAGGTGAGCGATGAGCGGTGTTGTTAGTTCAGGGTGACTCAGGAAAATTTTGAGTGGGCAGACCCCAGCAGGGCCCCCAGCCTCATGTCCGGGTGGTGGGTTGAATCTGTACCCTTCACTGTATCGGGGACGGCTCGCTGACATGCCCCCAGTAATACTGCTGTTTGTGGTAATCTGTTGGACCAACCGACCCCCAAACTATGGGCTGTCTGGCCAAATGTAAATGGAACAAACTCGCGCTGCTTCTGCACCTGTTTGATATTATTTCAGAGGGCTGAAATTTGGTGAGTCACCACCATAAACACAAGTGACTCGATGATATAATTTATCGTCTGGAAAGCTTTGGCAGTGGCGGATGCTGTGTGAGCCAAAGGATTTAGCCAGACTGGGCGTTCCTGGGATTTCCTGCAGGCTCACCCTAACAGCAGGTAGCTGAGAAGACTAGGCCCTTAACCGGTCAACTGAAAGCTTTAGGTTCAGACCCATTACAAAATTCAGCTGTTCAAATGGGTGAATATGCCACACTCTGTGTTAAACTGTCATCATCTGTACGTCCGTCCATCCGTCCATCCATCAGTAATAGCCAAATTAAGTTTTATGAACCAAATGCTGTATTTTCTGATACCACTAGATGGTGCCCTCTTCATGCCCCAAAGCAAACCAAGCGTGCCATCTAGTGCGGTCAAAAATCATAAAATGGTTCATGAAGCTGTATTTGGCCGTCACAACCATCCATTATCTGCCTATTATCCAACTGATTTTCCTGGGCAGGGTCACAGGGGTGCCTGGCGCCTGTTCCAACCAACTTAGGGCACTGGGAGGGGTACACCCTGGATGGGACGCCTGGCCGTTGGGGGGTGCCACACACTCATTGTGAGCAATTAGGAGATGTCAGGCAGGCTAACCGCATGTCTCTGGACTGAGGATGGAACCCGCAGTGACCTAGCGAGGACATGCACACACAGGAGCGACTCGAACCTGCAGCCCAGCAGCAGTGCCACCTATTGAGCCAGTGCGGCAGTCTGTCATCTAAATAACTGAATGAACCACTTCGTTTTATTATTGTGGTGTTAATTTGGCTGAAGTTCATTTGGCAGGGAATATTACGTTCTGTTGATATACGTGAGCATTCTTGTATTCAGAGCAGCCAGATGAAGCGGGCACTCGCAGAAAGAGAGTTTGTCATGAAGCGTATTGAACGATGTATGGAGGTAGGACCTCTGCTGATGGAAGAGGCCATATTTGATGTATATGAAATATATTTGGCAGTTTTCCCATGCTGAGGCAGCAACGGTTGCTTCTCTAGCAATGAATTAACATTGTGAGTAACAAATCTACTTTAATTAGCATTTAGTGTTATGGAGAGAATAAATAAACCCATTTTACAGTTTTAATGTGGCTTACTTTTACAGCAGTTAATGGGAAAAGAATCTATTTAAAACTGCTGAAAATAACAGCTTTTTTGAGGTGACACATTTGTAGCTGGAGTCATTCAGGCATCAAATTTGGATAAATCATTTAATTATTTGTAATTTACGTGATGCTGAGTTTTTGCTTTTGTGCAAAGAGATGCTGTGTTTGACCTCTTAGTCTTCATATGCAGACTTGCACCGACCTTCCTGTGAGTTGTTGCATAAATGACGATCCCCACCAGGTGGCACTGTGTAGCTGCCAGTCATCCTTGTCTGAATTTCCAAACAGTTGTGTGTGTGTATAGAAGGATTTTTTGGTTTATCTTCTGCCCTCTATTTGTGGATCTGGATTCTGACATTGAGTGGCTTTTGTCAGACTCCAGATTACAACCAGAAATGCCTGAAACGATGGAAGAAATTACATGTAGGGTGTTGGATGTCCTGGAATAGCTGTTATCAGATGGCCCCGGCCAGTAATAATAGGCTTTTTCAGGCATGAGGCCATACAGAGTATCGTGTGAGAAGAGCGTCTTTCTCTCTTAATACATATTAATCACCCAGTGCAGTATTGCTCCATATTACTACACGTTAAGCTTGCATTATCAGTGGATTTGCACATGGAGACTTTAGGTGACTACATTGCCTGATCCTGTCACATCTGAATGGGTGTAAAAATTGATTGTGCTCTTTGGAACAAACCCTCCTGTTCACCTTTGCTTGAATGCTTTGCTCGTTTATTTTAATGACGCTTGACGGAAGCCAGAATTTAAATGTAGTGCTTATAATTTCCAGCTGTTTCCCTGTTATGTTTTTAGCGCTGCTTTCGGTTCTGGCGTGTAAGCAAGCGGGGTCTTGTCTCAGGCCGCCTGCAGCAGCACCGGCGTAACGTAACGCAGCGGTGGTGGCGTGCTGGGCTTTGTACCCCTCCATTAGTAGGTGGCTCCTCTGTCCTAACAAGCATGGGAAATAAACAGGCAGCTAGTGAGACGACTTCTCCTGCAAGGACCAGTGGGGCCTTTGGCTTATTGACATCCTGGCCCAAGGTGGTTAAGGAGCTGGCCCTGGGCTTCTTGAAGGGATTCACCTTTACTTGCTGTTGTGGAAATGTTTGGGCCATTTTTGTAAGCAATGCAGCACTGTAGTATTTACAATGTTTTTAAAAGCCAAGCACAGCCACGTGAGCCGCAATAGATAGCAGTACCTGGTAACTGTTTTAAAAAAAAAAAAATTTAAAAAAAAAAACTCTCTACTGCTCTGATTCACATTTGGTCTTCAAGTGATTTGGAGGGCAGAGATCTTCTGCTGCTTTAATGCCAGTTGCCTGGAACGATTAGATATGAGTGATTTTCTTCCCTTGTGAAGAAATATAAATGTCCAGAATCTGAAGTTAATGGTCTAAACCAGTGGTTCTCAACCTTTTTTGCACCATGACCCGTTTTTAACTATGCCAGCTCAATCGCGACTCTACATCAAGTACAGGTTTAAATTTACGCTATGGCCAATCACACAGTGCACTCTGCAGTTTACACCAATCAATGCCTATTGCACAATTCTGATTGGATGTGCCAGTGGATTTTAAATTTAAGAATCTGTGGTTTGGCTTCTTGGATTGGTTTAGTGATCACTAGTTTTGGACTAAGCATTTGCAGACCCAAGACCCGCTTATATAGGTTAATTCTAGGATTGGGGCTTGGAAATCTGATAGTTTCTATATAGGGGCTTGCTGGTTTTAAAATGCTTACATTTTGCACTCTGCCTCACGTCCCTTTCAGAACTGGCTGCGACCCAAATTTGTGTCACGACATGCTGGTCTGAAAGAAAAAAGTGATCCACGCTAATAGCCCAAACTTTTCAGTGGCAGGTGGGATGCAGGTGACGGGTTGACTGAGAATACTGGTTAACCAAGAACTGGGCCTTCCATGCTAAATTAACTCCTTGTTGACTAGTTGCTAGTTGAGCTGGTTGACAGCATGAATGTTTGCAATGTACTATTTGACTTGCTTTTCCGTCATTTTGGACAAAAGTGTCTGCAGAGTATGAAAATGTAAATTTCCCTGCAGCCTTATGCAGACCGAAAT